AGAGTTTTCCTTTAGCTGTAGATATACCAACTCATAGGCTTCTGTAACCATTCACAAGGCCAAAATGACACCATATGCATCATCATACAAATTATGTACTTTTATGATACTATTTCCATTACTAATTAAAGCCTTATCATGACATCATAATGCTTTTATTGTCACTTCCCCCCCTAAGCCTCTCCCTTCCCCACTTCCCTTGCCCAGACTGCTACATTTTTGTGAATTTGGGGCATTCCTGATTCTTGGTCAGATGCATTTTAATGGAATCTTGCCACCTGATCTGTATGCTGCTGTAATTTAAGACAATTCCTTGTCTACCTTTTGACTCCAGCAGAAACCATCCCGGGCTGTGAAACTCTCATAAAACACTGAAAGTATCCAAGGCAGTTTAAGTGGCCCATTATCAAGCAGAATTATCAATTAGAACTGCTTCCATTCTTAAATGAAAGTGCCATGCAAAATATTCCAGAGTCCTGCTTGCCTGTTTGAAATTGGATTTGCCATCAATTGCACCTTCCATTACATTATACCTTCCGACTTACAGTCACAATTCAGCCCAAATTTTCTGTTGCTAAGCAAGATGATTGTTAAGTGAGTTTTGCCCCATTTTAAGACCTTTCTTGACATAGTTGTTAAGCGAATCACCACAGTTATTAAGTAAATAACACAACTGTTAAGTGAATCTGGCTTCCCCACTTACTTTGTTTGTCTGGGGGTCACAAGCCGATAATTACATGACACTGCAACCATCATAAATATGTGCCAGTTGCCAGGTAAATAGTCTAAATATGAAAAACGAACCTAAGTCACCTTTTTTGTGACACTGTAACCCTGAACAGTCACTAAATGAATGGTTATAAATAAGGATTTGCTTCATTGTTATACATGTTACAGGAAGATGAAAGCACAAAATGCTAGCAAATTTATTCTTCCATATAAACAACAACAACAACAACAACAAAACCCCCGATCATAGTGGTCTTCTATTACCCTTCCACCACAAACAATCCCAGTTAAGAAATGAGATGCAAATTAAATCTTGTCAAATTATGAGACAATTTAATCACTGGCAATTTAGTCAAGAATTTCCCAAAGAAAAACTGGACAAAATGGGAAATGGGGCCCTTGTAATTATGAAGTTCCCAGCACTAGCATGGACTGCAATAAATTACAAAGTTCTGCATTCCATTTGCTGAAATAGTCTCAATTTATCATTTTATTTTAAAGAGATTCCATTATGCTAATGTTTTACAAAAGCACTTTCTGGTCTTCCTAGAAGGTCAACAGGGGACACAAAGTATGAGATTTAGAAGTATGTCAGAGAGGGAAGCAAAAGTACTAAGTTTTAATAAAGAGTGACATAAACATGGCTACTTTTAGAAAAAATACTTTTTGTAGACATATCTATAGATATAGATATATCTCCTATTTTCACTTGTCTCTTGTTAATAATAGAAGCTAGTTCATTAAAATGTGATTTACTTTATAAAATATCATTTCGCAGTACATAAAATTTAAGAATCTGATTTTTTTTGGGGGGGGGGGGCACATTGCCCAGATATGTACGTCCCAGGAATAATAAAATATTATGCCTTGGAATGGAAAATAGTTTGTCTCTAAGACTTGAAAAGAAATATGGCTTCTAAATGAATCATTTCAACAAATAGACTTTTCCCTGAAAAAGATAAATCTTGTAAATCTTTCACTGCCACGGGAAGAAATCAGAATCTATTAAAATGCATTTTTATATAATACGACAGTTCTACAGTGTGGAACAATTGCTCAGTTAAAGTACCACAGATAATGCTTATTATAGTTGCTTTGTTAAAAATAGAATTGGAATAGTATTAATAGAGCCATTTTGAATCAAGTGTCATGCAAGATGCCATATACATGACATATTTAAAAATAACTATCTGTTTCTATTAATGCATTAAAGTTTTCAAAAAGCAGCATATAACTTAAGTATCCTTATGGAAAACCATATATAAATTTTAAATTAGGAGATAAGGGCACAGATTTTAAACTGTATGAAAATGTATGTGTATATTTTAATTTAAATACTTAAATAAATATCAAATTTAAAGGTAAATCAATCAGAATACAGGATAGATCTTTTTTATTTTATGCCATCAAATCAATCTTGACTCCTGACAGTCAAGTCACTGGACCAGTCACTGCAGTTTTCTTGGCAACATTTCAGAAGTGACTTTGCCTTCTTCCTAGAATGATGAAAGAATGGCTGAATTAAGGCTCCTCAGTTGGCTTTATGCCTATTGTGAGACTAGAACTCACAGTTTTCCAATTTCCAACCTTGTGATTTAAGCACTGCACTAAACTGGCTCTGTATGATGCAGAATATAGAAAATGAAATAGATTGAGCTATTAAAAGAACTATGTAAAGGCATCCGCTTCTTCATGTGTCTTCTTCTTTTGAAGAGCACAAAGTACCATTAATGAATGTAGAACCTTTGAAGCTGTGATTATTTCTGCTGAGAATGGACAACCCTGATTTCTTCACCTCAAATTCATCCCCCCCCCCCCCCCCTCCCCCCCCCCCCCCCCCCGCCCCTCTCTCTCACACACACAAGGCATATGCTTCATATCCTCTCTCTTTGTCACGGTCAGCTTGACTAGGTTTTATTCTTCTCAGTTCTTTAATGTTATTTTATTCTTTCTTGAAGAAGAAGAAAATCCCCAAAGACTATGTTTTTATACTTATAGGCAGTAGGCTTAATCTGTTCTGTATTGAACAAATTAATCTTTTTATTCAGAGATCAAATGATCTTTTGCTGATGGAAAAGAACTGCAATTTATCAACCTGTATCATATTAATGTAAAGCAAAAGTGCACATACTATATTTCTATTTTTTGTGGCTACTGTCTTCGGGAAAAACAACATGTGATTTATGAAGAAAAATGCTTATCGCTACACCTACAGCTTGATAAAACTTCAAAAGATGACCCTATGTAATGAGTACTGAAGAAAATTCATCTAGCTCCTGAAATGATTATTTCAGACCAATGAGTTTGGATGAACTCTGATTTAATTGCTATCTATCATGTTCTTTGAATCCATCAAAAGTTGCTTAATCCATGAAAGATTAGTACAAAAAAGCAAGTTCTTCATTTGAAATGTTTGTTCTAACATTTTAAAAAAACAACTCTCTCTGTACTGAACTTAAGGATGTCTTTTGATAAAAGAGGATAAATTCCTAGACATCCTGTTTTTAATGAAGGAAGTTGAAAACAGTCATACAGCTGTGCTGTTGGTATACATGATTCATTTGTTGATCATTTACAGCTGCTACCACTACACTATATCACAATAAAAGTGCATGCTTTATTGGAGGCCCTTTAGATGAGTCAGCGCTCCCATTTTAATGGAGTTCTCAAGAAAAAAAAATCTACTTCCTCCTTCCCTCACCAAAATAACCTACAGATTATTTCAGGTCTTGAATATTCCAATTAATGCAATATTAAAAATCAGTAAGAGGAGATGAGCATCATATTGTTTCCTGACCTGAAAGTAATTTGACAGTGTTAAGTTCGGACATGTGACAAGCAACACAGTAATTTGGATTGCTTCTTTGCCTTAGGCAAAATGAGTCTCAGAACATTTTTTGTAGATGCTCAATAACTAAACAAATTTTAGCTTTGTAAAAATCTTTCTTCTTGTAATTCTAGGAAGGTACTGTCAAAAGTGCTCTTTATCTAGCTCGAAGGACTCAGCTATACTCAGTTCCAATATTAGATGCTATGTGTAATTTGAAAAAAAACCCATCAAACAATGCTAATAACTTAATTCATGTTAAGAAATGAGTACATATCTGCAGTTTTGATATGACTATGGAGAAATCCTACTTACCAGATAAATTTAATATTATATTTAGAATAATAAATAACCAGCTAGATGAGGGCTAAAAGAGGTGTGGAAGCATTTGTTCACGTTCATTTCTCCTAATGCTTATTTCTAATATTTTCAATTCTGTTCTTCCCCTGATATATAAATTGAGCAACTCAGGTTGGAGACAGCAGCCAAAAGTTACATCCAGGCCTTGTTTGAACAAGTTGCTCAGTAAGACCTATGTGCAACACTACAATGAGGTTGCCAATACAGATAATTGCTATTTGGACACTCAAAAGAATCTCAGCCCAGATATTGCTTTAAATCTTCTAGGTTAAGTGATATAACTCTGGAGTCCTTCTTAAATCCTAATTTCTAAAACTTTACTTTTTAAGGACATCTCAAATGAATCAATGAAATGATCCATCCATTTTCTAGATTTCAGTACTTCCCAAATATTTGCTGTGTTGCTATCATAAAGATTCAACTAAACTTCCTTTGCTCAGACTAAAATATTTCCTTCTATCTTCAGAATTTAGAGGAATTTAGAATTTAACAAGAGGCTAATAATATCTTGTACTAGAACTGAATGACTACATTTCTGCTATTTTTTTAATATTAAATATTAAAATGAGTTTAGAAATATTAAAATGAGTTTGCTTCTTGGCTTGACAACAAGAATTAAACAAAGAAAATTAAATATCTATGCATAAGATTATATTGGATGGATCTTGGGTATTATACAATTCCAAGAGATAATTCAGGTAAAATTGGAACCATCACAGAATGCGTTGGTTAAAAAGAAAAATAACTAGGCTAAAGGAATTTTGAAAATACTGTGTCTAAATATTGATAACTTTACAGAAAAGATCGTAATTCAGCAATAGCAGCACCAAGTCTCAATAATATCAAAATGATGACAGGTAATAAATGTTGCACATTTGCATTTCACTCTGTGATGCAATACATTGCATGGCATTTGTGTGAGGATGTCATCAGACATGTGTCATCATTTTTCCCATCATGGGCCTGTATGCCATGAATTTGCAGCTACACAGAAAGCTTTACAACAAGAAAGAAAGAAAAATGTGAACAGGTCTATTTTGAATGGGTTGATTCATGTTGTTCAGCTGACCTTTTAATAACTTACCTGATGGAATAGGAACTCTGTTGTCCAAAATCACTGCTAGTCCCAATGAGTCAGAAGGTAAAAGGTTGGTACTAAGATCCACACGAGTGAGACTTGTGGGTTCCCTTCCATCGCTTGAGATGAGGATCCTGGGGTTTTCATTCTCACTCTTCCGCTGATTCTGAATAATATGAACAATACTTTGCTGGGGTAGATCACAGTTCTGGAGGGGAAAAAAGTGAAATTCCTATAAACACGTTTGTTTGAAATCTTCATTATCATCTCATCTAATTTTTTCATACAGTTCTCAAATACAGTACATTTAATATAGAGTGAGTGGCCAACGGTCAGAATGTCTGACAACAACTCTAAGGGTAATAAATGAAAAAAAAGGGACCAACGTAAATGGCCAAACAAGCATTACTTCCTTCACCAACAAGTCAAAACATTTGGACATTTCTGTACCTTAAACAAAAACCATCAAAACCAATCAATCTTGATAAATCGTTTTACATAAAGATGGCAAAGATTTATCAATCTTGATAAATTGTTTTACATAAAGATGGAAAAGACTGATTCATTGAGCCTTGTGTTTCACACTGGAAAGTGAATTGCAAAGTTTTATATGGCCCCACTGGGCCACTTTATTCAAAAATTATGCCAGACTACTTTTAATTTGTGTTTCTTCTTCTTCTGGAACCTCAAAATGTAGAGATTAGAAGCAGCACTTTGAACTGGATTTACAAGGCAGGTGATGTAGTGACCATAAGATGGGCATGATACTAGCACTAATATAGTTTCCTGACTAGCCATGTGGCCCTATGTAATGGTATACGAGAAAGAGGGAAATAGGGTGAAGAGGCAGAAAAAGGATGAAGAGGCATGGTCAGATAAAAGAGGCTCAGAAGGACCTGCCCTACCTTTGCAGGCTATAAAGGAAAAAGTGGGAGATTTGTACTTTCAGACTTAAAAGATTCTTTTGTTAATGTAGCCTTATAATAAAGTGGAATTAGCTCTTCTGGTTGTCCCAAAGGTCAACCTATCGAAAAACAAAAACATCCAGTTGCCTCTTGAAAAAGCACCTTTCAAACAACCATGACCCGAGAATCTCTATAGACACTCATCCGGTTGTGTTTCCTGCCTGATCTACCTGGGAAGGTGACATCAATCCTGCACACTTGTGTTCCCTTCACCCCATTTCTCAAGGTCTTTCTCACATACTACATGCTCCACTCATTCTGTGTCTAGCAACCACTTTCCAAATCCAATCCATTTCTAGAGGGTTTTTGCAACAATTCCTTGTGAATGCAGTGATTCTCAGTGTCCCCCCCAAAATCAGTCTGAGAATTATATTGTGTCTCAAAAAAACCTTTGAATAAACTGTCCATTAGTTGTAAAGATATACTTCTTCATACTTTAGCGCTAAAAATACGCATTCATAATAACTTTTATAGAGAATCCATTATTGGCATAATCAACCAAACCAGCCTTTTCCTGAAAAATCACACACAAAATCGAGCTTTTTCAGTCTATTTGATAACCCAGTTCTAATTCAAATGGCCTTATTTTCTGTGATAACAAGAGAAATCATATTCAAATAGAAGTACAAATCTCCTCGTCTGTTCGGTATATATTCTGTGGATTATTGCTTTGGAACCATTTTGGACATATAATTGGAGAAGTGACATATAGAGAAAAAGTTTTCATTTTAACCTTTAAAAGTTTATTAATTCTTTATTTTCCACATACTTTATTTTGAAGTACATGGATTTTGGATTGTTGTCCTTCAGTTTCAGAACTGTTTTTCCCATACTGTCTCTGAATTTGCAATCTTCTTGGAACAGACTTACTTCACAAAAGGTTGCAATAATAAAATATGTTATAAGAATGAAGAACACAAGATTTTGTTACCTAGAAAGGATAATATAGAAATCTATTAATCTGATTCAGTGATGTAACATGTCTACCCAGTTGCAATTTAACACAAAAAGTTGAATAAACAATGATGAATTCCAGATTTATCTTACTTATTGTTGGTGCACAGAGGGAAATGCATCTGCCACTACTGATTAAATCAATCAATTTTTATTTTATTTAATCAATTTTATGGCAAGATAAACATTATACAAGGTAAATGTATAATAATACCATTTAAACCATAATACAGGTAAGTAGCACAACATATAAAATCTGGACTAAAATATGAAACCAGTTCATGTGATTTTTATATTTATCATTCCAACCAGTACAACTATAAGATATTTTTTTTTCTTTTATGACACAATTAGCTTGTGTAACAAGTGAGAAATTAATAATAACTACTAGAGAGATGAGGCTATAACACTAGACAAAACTGTCACATATGAAACAGCTTTTGAAACTGAAAGTTTTACATTCACTTTAATGTAAAATCAATTTTCAGGGATAGAATTCAGAGGGACATAAAGTAACACACTAAAAAGGGGGAAGAAACATAAAATATCTTCCACAGAAAAAAAAACTAAAAACACCACATCTGATTGCTCTATTATTACTAACCTTTAAGATTTAAAGGACAGAGTGCATGTTGTATCTTTAAACTGTGGTGCACAGAAAGAAAATCAGGAAATATCTACCCTGCCCAATTAATTTCACTTCTGCATAGAGTTATAAGAACCGGGGAGCAGAAGTTTAAATCACCAGTAGATGGCAGGAAATAGCAAATTCCATGTTTATTTGTTGTCATCTAAGTTCTGCATTCCATATCTGCTTATTCTACTTTGGCTGCATAGCCAAATGGTGACAGGCAAAGCATTAGAAAAATGGAACAAAAAAGATCTTTCTCCCCCTTTTATCACTCTTCTTGGAAAACTGGGATATTACAGAGCCTGAAGCCCAATGTAAATTCTGTCATTATATGCAATAATTGCATGAGACTAACCAGCTCAAATAATGAAGCAAGTGTGATGTCGTACTATCAGAATCCATTAACGTATGTAAAGCCCATTCCTGTACAAAAATACCCCCCCCCCCAAAAAAAATAACTCTTTCCCAAATTGTTCCATAATGTGGGAAATGGAGGACTGAATACGGCTCCAAAAACCAAAACTGATGACTGCAGTAAAATGAAGAACCAACAAGTAGATTGTTTTTTCAGTAATTCTTCTCTAGAGAAGGAGAGGTCTTTGGTCATTTATAAGTACTCCTGATAGCTGCTCCTTGCAAGGAGACCTCAAGATAGTGCTCTGCAACAGATTTAAACCTTTGGGAGATGATGGAGTACCCAACTTTCTCAAACCATGGTTGGCACCTTTGAAAGAACACTAAGCTTGAATATTTTATTTTCTAATTACTTTTGGAAATTGCTTTTCAGTTATCTTTAGGATCAGACAGGTTTGACAGCAGTGGGTGAGCTTCCGTTAATCTTTAGCAAGAGAAAAGTTAACTATAAATTTAAGAACTTGGATTCAATGTGGGCACTGGGCAGCTTAGAGAGTAATGTATGTTTCCAGAATAGCATACATGTCATAGCTCTGCTATATGAGCTGCACTGACTGCCAGATTGTTTCTGGGTCCAATTCAAAGTCGTATTTTTAACTTTTAAAGTCCTTCATGGCATGGGACTGGGTTATCTGAGGGACCACTTTACCGTCATTACATTGCCCTGTCCCATTAGATCTAGCAAAGAGACCATGCTTTAGGTCCTGCCTACTAGGGACTTACACTTGGAGGATTCCAGGAAATGCACCTTCTCTGCCATGTTGTCCAATTTGTGGAATATTCTGCCCCTATCCCAAAGTAAAGTTATATTCAACCCAATTAATATTCTATAAGTCCCTAGGATCTAGCCATGTCAACAGGCTGGGGATCTCAGGGGATAGGTGATATTCTAAGATGTCTCTCTCCTGAACCTAATTGTATTGCTTGTGAGATGGTCAAATTTATATATGTGATAAATAAATAAATACATACATACATTTAAACATTAGTTCTGAAATAAAAAAAACCAAAAGAGTGATTAAAACTTTGATTTTAGAAACTTACAGATTAAGGGGTCCAGGTAAATTTCAAATAAGATGTTGAAATTAATTATAAAGCATCCATTTGTTGTTGTTATTTCTTAAATAAGATTTTAAAAATTGGACAGAGAGAACTAAAGATTGTAATTAAAGGAAAAAGACACAAACTTGACTTACAATTACAGAATGAAGCAAAGCATTCTAAGATTAGACATATTGCACAATATTTTTGAACAATTGACTCAGAAGTTAATTTTAGCAGTACCAAGAAAGTGTGCCTATATGGAGAGACTGCATCTAAAAGGTATTTATGGGAGAAGAACCAATTTTATCTGACAAGGTCGATACTGAATCAAAAATGATTTACAAATGTCAAGCTACAAGAATCACATGGAAAAAGATGTTACACTGGACATACAAAAGAAACCAACTGATGTCTTTTCAAATGCTAAATTACAAATGATAAACTAAGACAGTGAATAATTTTTCTATACTGTATTGGGTTTAGAAAAGAAGTTTGTTAAAGTTTTGAAGAATCTCATGAGAAGGAACAAACAAAAAATAAAAAACCCATTAAGTTATATGCCATTATTTGAATGGACTAAAGAATAAAGATGGCTATAAGTAAAAGGAAGAAATATAAAGTTGGTTTAAATGACCAACGTTAAAATAGATGTGTCATTATGTCTGATAATCCTTAATAGATACCAAGGCTGAAATCACAAGGTATTAGGGATTCATTTATAGATAAGAGGTGAGATATAGGGAAAAGATTTAAGAGAAGATGATAAAAGTTACTAAAATGTATACACCTGTGGTGATATTGAGAAATCACTTCTTTACATATTTATTATCTTTTTCTTTACTACATTTCTTTACTTTTTCTTATTTTTTCTTTGTAGTTTTCTCTTTCTTTCTTTTCTGCACCTTCTTTGATTTTTCTTATTTTTTTCAATTTGTATTCATTTTTACTGTTACAACTATAATATTTAATAAAATTACAGTAAACCAATTTCATCGTGTTTGACATGAGCTTGGATGTAATTATGCAGATTATACACATACCCTTTTGGAATTGCAGTGCTAGTTCCTTGAATTCACACTGTTTTCATGATTTAGTACAGACATACCTAAGAGATCTCATTAACTCTCTGCAAACATTTTATTTATTTTTTTAAATCAACATTAAACTTGCAATAAATTATTGTACTTAAATAATATTTTA